AGAGCTGTTTCAGTATTTCATTAAATGGAAAATGTCATTATTGTGAAGATATTCTTAAACTAGGTATAAGAAATAACATCTCTTCTCTTCTTTTACGATTGAGTAAATTACCAGATAAGAATAAATCAAATCTGAAGGAAATAATTGAAGCCGACGAAGATAGTCCACAAAATCAGAAGATATTGGATGAAGATGATATATTGGAAGTCCTTCGAAAAGATAAGCAAGCATTACCAAGGGTGGAGCAAGCTTATTCTGTAGCGCTTGAAAGATTTTTGAATATTAATGTTGTAGATTTTTAGCATATTTTTTTCGATGTAAAATATTTTTATTATTCAATAAAAAAAAAAAAAAAGCATTTATTTATTTTAAGAATGTTTTTAAGTATTTATTTTTGTGAATAAATATAATAAATTACATAATAATTAATTATACATAGAGTTTTGCTTGTAATCAATTAATTGTTCATCACTACAAAAATAATTTCAGCAAAATTCTTGAATAACTACAGTTAATTCTAATCGCATAAGTAATCGTTCATCCCACATGGTGTGCGTAACCGTATATATTCCTTGTGATTATTCGTACGCCATCTAATCTATTAAAATGAATCAATTCGATTACATCTTCACATTCCATAGCCGTAAGTTGAAACTCTAATACAGTTATTGACATTCTTGTTTCCACTTGTCCATCCTTGTATTATTTTTCTGAGTTAAACGTTTGACTCCAAGCTTCGGATGTGTTATGTCGGTTGGAATTTGCTTATTTTCCATAATTTTCTTTTGGAATCCAATTTATCAAATACTAACATATAAACCCTTGTAGCGTTTTGAGTTAATCCATATATTTTGAGATCGCTATTATTTTATTGTATATAACTGCAAACTTATTAAGCATGTAAATATAAATTAGAAATAAGCAGCTACGAAATACAAAGAGGTCTATACGTATAGTAAAAAGAAACCAGTGTACTTATCTGTTAGTAGAGGTAAAAGCATTGGCGGGTTGTGCATTTGAATCGGTAAGTGAATTGAAATTGGGTATGTAATAACAGTGGCACATACAACATAGTTGCGGCAATTAGAAGCGAATAACTAATAATAAAGAAATATAACTTCAGAACTTACTAACGTTATTACGAAGTTTATTACGATATATTAAGATATATTATAAAATTCTTACATTCTTATTGGTCGACGTGGCTCTGAGTCATGATTTTCAGATCTGGAAGGCTTGAGTAACGAGGTTGTCCACCATGCTGAAGTACTGTAGATACAAAGTCTTCGTTTAAACACAGTCTTCTCTTAAATACAAAGTTTTTTTAAATTGGGTTTTCCGATTTTAGCGTTTTGAATACATATTTATTGAAAAATAAAATAAATAAAAAATTTTAAAAATGTAAAAATGGTCCCTTTTCATACGAGACACTCCATATAACTTATGTATATATTTTTTATTTATATTTTATTATTTATTAATTTATTTAAATTTCATCACACATTTTATTTAACTTATACAGTATAATTTATTTATTAAATTTCATCGCACATTTCATTTTAGTACAATATTACGGATCTTACTAATCTATCTTCTACGCGCAACTACACACACCCATACATCACTTTATCATACCCAGTACACCTACAGGGCTCACTTCGCTCCTGCTGTCGCCTCCGCTTCAACGACTTCAACAATGAAGAAGCACTAGAACGAACGACTACAAAAAAAAGTACCGGAATACTCGACGCCAACATTAGAAGCACCGAATTGAGCGACTCCAACGACGCGAAATAAACGCTAAACCAACGACGCAAAAAAAGGCACCAGCCAGTAAAAGAAGCACCGAACTAGATAACACCAACGGCAAATCTATTACTCGAAAAAAGAATATAAACGTTAAAAATAAAATAAGAAACAAAAAAAAAGTGTGCCGTGGATAGAGCCCCAAGCCTCGCTCTATCTGATCCTAACCAACCATTTTATGTTAGGTCTCTTTTTTTTTTTTTTTTTTACCGTTTACCGCAGATAGAGCCCCAACCACGCCCTATCCAATCCTAACCATTTTATATTAGGTCTCATTTCCAAAATTTTTTTTTTAACCGTTTACCGCAGATAGAGCCCCAGTCCCGCTCTATCCGATCCTAACCAACCATCTTATGTTAGGTCTCGTTTTTTTTTTTAACCGTTTACCGCAGATAGAGCCCCAGCCCCGCTCTATCCAATCCTAACCAACCATTTATGTTAGGTCTTGTTTTTTTTCGCTCCTATTTTTTTAACCGTTTACCGTCCGTTTATCGTAGGTAGAGCCCCCAGCCCCGCTCTATCCAATCCTAACCAACCATCTCATGTTAGGTCTTACTTCGCTCCTCATATTAAAAGGGTGGTATGGACTGGTACTTTTTGGGACAGCCCCTTGTTGTGTGCCCTTCCTTCCAACAACGAATGCAGTGTTGCTTGTATTCGGGGGAATCTTGTCACAATCTCGTAAAAAATGGGACCCCAAACAATGATAACATTGGGGGGGCTAGAGTAATAGTCCACGTGGGATGTTGAGGGAAGTTCAGGAGAAGCAGAGGGATCCAATAGTTGTGGTCCGAGAAGCGGCGGAGGAACAGGGGGAACCAATGCATGTGGTTCGAGAAGAGGAGAGGGAGAACCAGGAGGGGGAGAACCAGGAGGAGGAGAACCAGGAGGAGGAGCAGGGGAACCTAAGAAGTTATAAATTAAAAAAAAGAAATGATAAATTAAAAAAAAATAATAAATTAAAAATAAAAAACGATAAATTAAAAAAAAATAATAAATAGAAATGTCGTCCTGGAGATAAAGTACCTTCGGCCATCGTTGGGTGTGGGTGGGTCTTTTCTTGGTGAGGGGAGGAGGAACGCGCAATATCACTAATAACATTTATCGTATTTACGTATGCAATACATTGCATACGAAAAGTGTTCACTAGAGCTTTATATGGATCAGACTTTTTTTTTTTTAAGTAAAAAATCTCACCTTATATATATATAGAAATGATTTCTTTGTTTACCGTGGGAAATCATGGATTTGAGAAGTTACGCGTATCAGGTATAGACCTACGATTATTTTAGTAAACAAACACGATTGTTTATCCATAATTAGATTGGACCCGGGTGGCGTTTTTTTTTCTCATTGTATCGGTATATCATAGGAAGACATTCATTTAATTGGTCAATTTTTGTAGATCTACCCGTGAGTTTCCGTGATAATTAACCAATCACA